AACTTGTTTGACTATGTGTGTGTATGTGAGTGTAAATTACGTACAACTGTGCAATTGTTACAAAAACATCACGTTGCAGCTGCTGTTGATGGCTCCACTCACTGTCCAACCTTGCTCCTGTTTAGTCTTAACACTTATCTCTTCCCAACCACGTCCTCGGAAAGGTGGTTGCGTCCCTAAACTTCCACACAGTGCACTCAGCATTCTTTGATTATAAATGTGAGTATATAAATATAATACAAAGGATTATAAATGTGAGTACATAATGATTAATATATCTTTATTAGAAGCATAAGCGTTCTTCATTGCAGGCATAGTCAATTAATGATTGCAGGCATAAGCTTTCTTCTTTGCGAGCATAATCAGTCAATCAATCAATATCAAAATAACAATAATAACATTAATAAGAAGCGAATGTATGATAACTAAAAAAAATCAATCTATCATGTTCCAAATAAATTTGTTCCAAATTATTCTTAATAATAAACGAGACAAGTACAAAAAATGCAGGAGAAAAAACAGATATAAGGATCAATACTGTACATGCAAACCATCGTGTCTAGGATCGAAAACACACATGTACAGTAAATCAACACAGACTTTTTCCAAGACAGCAGCGATAAGCATGTGCTTAGGATGGACTGAAACATCACGCAGTAATTGATGGATCAGACTGTGACCACTGACCAGTACTGCACTGAGCTCCAGTGTGTCGTGATGACACTGCTCCAGCAAATACTTTGGAGCATCACGTCCTTCAGGTGAGAATTATTATTATTATTATTTTTTTTAATTGCTGTGTCATAGAATTAAATATAGTGTTCAGTGTCCACGTTGCATTGTTTTGTTTCATTTTATTTGATTTTAGCATTCACCGCAATTCATCAGCCTCCACACTCAAAATTTCAAAAGACTGTTATGTGCAGCAGGATGTGTTTCACCCTCGAGCAAAACAAATACAACCATTCATAATGCTCATACATTATGCATCAAAATGGTGTGAGGATGAACACTGCAAACAAAAGTCATCATCAGTTGAAACTCAAGAGGTGTACTTTGGACACTCAGACTGAGTGCTGCTGCAATCCCGTGTTAACAACCAAATATTTCTTCCATGTACGGTACTTAGCTGCAGTGCAGTTTTTGTGAATCCAAGAAGCCAAGTGAAAAGAAAGTGGCCCAGATGATAAAACCATCCACCTGCTACAACACGTGAGAATCATCGCCCGGAGGAAACTGGAACTTTTCTTGGGCTTTTGCATTGGATCCCCTGTGCTGTGCTAGGAGAATATTGAAGTCATTTGCATGAAATGTGTGGTTTAAGTCGCAGGGCTGGAGTGTGCAGGTGTCGATCAGTTCTTGCGTTACCATGCACATACATCTCATTCCCCGAGTTCTGTCAAGAGATTGTCCTGTCTGGTGACTGCTTTCGAATGGATATTGTGAAGCAAATGCATCGGGACCCTTGTTACTTTTCTGCTGAGGCTGTTGTGGCATTTGACCAAAACAAACTGTTTCTGGATTTGTTCATTTGCGTATGACGACAATTTTGGCTTTTGTCCTTTTCTTATTCCTAATGATCTGTACTGCGATATGTAACCATAATGACGTTTACATCTTTGTCAGTGCAAGTTTGAGAAAAGTGGTATTCATTTTTTTCAAGCACCATCTGCTGTTTTGGAACGTTTATGTAATTGATCATTTTATGAAATTGTTCATTTGTGATGTGCTGTCACAAGATCCTCCTTAGGTTTTCGTATGATGACTTCCTCATCTATATTGGTGGTCCACTTCCGGGGACTTTGTTTGCTTCCTCTATTATCAGGCTGGGCCGGAGGTGCTCCCGCACCTACAGCTGATCAGCAATCACCACTTGTCTATAAGACCTCTGCTGATCTGCAAGCGGGTGCCAGATGATTTGTGAATTGCGAGTGGGATCTAGGCCTTTTCTAGTGCACATGCTTGCCCTTTTTGGATGTTTTGTGTATAAATCCTTACTCTTGCTCATCTCTTCCCAGTGCCTCCCTGCCCAGCCTGTCTCTGAGTTTTCCCCACAGACTACGTTACCCTACGATAGTGATGGGTCCATGAGGCCTCGTGAGGCGTGTTGACACACTGACACACTGTGTTGATACTGTGCTGATACTGTGTTGCTGACCACTGCCACCTGCTGGACCTTCAAAATCCCTGCAGCCAACCCACTTGACAGACTGAACTGACTGATTTGATGATGAAGTGTATACAATGCACTACCTCACTTTATCCACAATAGCCACAAGTGCCATTGTTTATGTTGTTGTTTATGCTGTTTACATTGTTTATATCATCTATACTGTTTATACTGTTCAGATTACATATTATGTCTTTTTATACAGTGTAGCTGCTATCCTTTCTTAGCTGTGTGTGTTTAATGCACAGCACAGCATGTTTGCATGCATATTTGCACTGAGGATTGAGAGGAAGAAATTTCATCTATGCTGCATGTCATACATAAAGCATATTTGACAATAAAGATGACCTTGACCCTTGACAATATCATTCACATCCATGCATTCATATTGTAT